GCTGCGCGCCCCCTCCCCCCATTCTTGTCATTCACCTTCCCCCTCCCAGGCTGCCTGTCTCCAGCTCCTCTCTAAAGAACTGCCTCATCTCCGAAAACTCACCCTTCAGCACCCCTGGACCCAAGAGACAGGATTGGGCAAGAGCAAGATGCTCTTCCCCTTTTGACAGTTGGGGGAACCAAAACCCTGAGAGGTGAAGGGTCTTGTGCAAGCTGCCAAACCAGTTGCCAGCAGAGCCAAGAAGCACACCCAGGAGGCCTGACCCCCAGCCTGGGAGGCTGAGCCCCCAATGGATACCGATGGAGCATCCGCTGGCCTGGTGGGTTGCTTTCCACAGAGCTGCCCCAGTAACACAGCTGCTCAGTCTCCCCAAGAAAGAGGAAGCATCTTCAGAGCCCTCTCCAGGCTTCATCCTGACTCCCAGATCTTAGTTAAGCAGCTAGCCACAGTGCCCAGCCAGGCCCACCGTGGGCCTGGCATCAGGTTTGATCTGACCTGATCGCCAACCCAGAGCTCGGCTCGCAGGTAATACCGGTCTCACAGGTGAAAGAAACTGCCTTTCCATCTCCCCCAGCCACCCCTCCATTCCTGCATGTGGGCAGGCTCCCCAGGGAGACACACCTGAGCACCCCCTTTTTCCTCTTCGTCGGTTAAAGAAAGCAGGCATTCACTAGGCCTGGCCCAGCTCTCTGGAAACTTGGAGCCAAGGCTGCCAGATGGAAAGTGACTTGCTTTCATTAGGAGAGGATTCCTGCCATCTCTCCCTTCCCCAAAGCTACCTTACCTGGGAGGCTTCAGCTCCCGAGTTGAACTGCAGGGCCTCAAGGCCTCCCTTGACCTCAAGTCCTTTCTGCCTGGGAGGTGGCAAGGGCAGGGGAATGGATGTGTCCAGCTCTGCAAACTCTTTTAAGGATGTGTTGTTCTAAGACGGCCCCAGATGTGACTCACCATTCTGAGATGCTGGTGATTGTTCTAGTCTGGGGATGGTGGGGTGTGCCATGTGGGGGGGTCCAGGAGAGCAGACAGTCACTCGGGATTCTTAGCTGCTTGCAGAGTTCCAACTACTCTACTCTGGGTGTATGGTGGGGTGAGCTTAGCTCTACTCTTTATTGTTGTTAATCTTTATTTTTAATATGTCTGTATTGATTTCAGAGAGAGGAACGGAGAGGGAGAGAGAGAGACATAGAAACATCATTGATAAGAGAGAAACATCGATGGGCTGCCTCCTGCACGCCCTCTACTGGGGATCGAGCCCACAGCGTGGGTATGTGCCCTGACCCAGAATCGAACCGTGACCTCCTGGTTCACGTTCGTGCTCAACCTCCTGAGCCATGCCGGTCCAGCTACCCTTTGTTAAAGTGGGTGTCCGTGCTGAGGCTGGGAACCTAGGTCTCTTATGTGCCTGTGGGCTCTGCCTCCCACATGCCCTCATTCAGCTCACCTGCCTGCCCTCACCTGCAGGCCAGCTGATCCTGGCCACAGTTCAGGGTAATTCGCTTCCAGAGCCCTTTTGATGTGAAGGCCTCGAGGGCCACCCCACTCCACTCATCCCAGCTGCCCGCCCAGCATCCACCTGATGTGCGTATCTGGGGTCATCATAACCAAATACCACAAACTGGGCGCCTTAACATGTATTTACTGTCGTCACAGTTCTGGAGGCCAGAAGTCAGATCAAGGAGTCTGCAGGGTTGGTTCTTTCTGAGGCTGTGAGGAGAATCTGCCCCCTGCCTCTCCCCCAGCTTCTGGTGGTTGCCGGCAACCGTTGGGGTTCCTTGGCCAGTAGATGCATCACCCCGATCTCTGCCGTCATCTTCCTATGGCTTTCTCCATGAAAGACCTGGCTGAAGTTTGTTCTTTTAGGGTCTGCATTATCTTCTGTGGGCATGTTCTTCTTCAAATGCCGGTTACTCCAGGAGGGAAAACCAGTAAGTTATTAAGATTCTAGTGTTAATTAATGTATCACATTTTAATAAAAAAATATAGCAATACCAGGCATCTTTAAGAGGGGAACTAGTGTGTGCTGACATGGGTGTCAGAGGA